AAGGAAAAGGTTGATGGGGGCTTCTGCTCTCCAACATCCCCCAGACAAACATCATTTTCACCTTGGTATAGACAGCAACAGCAAGTTAAGAGCCGAGTACAGCACCAAATGGACTTAGGCTGTTAGTGTCAATTTCTGCAATCTTTTTCCTTTCTTTGTGGCATTACCACTCATGTCTGCTAATTATTTCTTATAACAACTACAACTTTTGGTACTCTACAAGAATATAATCTTCAATTTGCCCTAGCTTAGTCTATCTATACCATAAAGATTAAACTAGGTCATTTATACCAATGATGACGTCCCCTCTTAGAGACTAAGTCGAACAAATTTGATGTTTTTCTGCTGGAAATCCAATGATTTCATTGATTCTTAGCATTATTTCTTCTGCTAAAGAATCGTTGAGGAGATCAAGTACAATTTCACCATCAACGAGCTTGATTTGATAGTCCCGATAGCAGGAGAGGGCATGAAGTATATTAAGGAAATTATGAGGTACAACAGGCTTAAATATGAATTCCAAACAGAAATGTGTAAAACCAGCACAAGAAATGCTTAAAATCGGGCAGTGAAACTCTAAAGATGTTCCCGCCATCTTTGAATATCTACAGAACAAAGAACCAAAACTTTAAAACTCTTTGGGAACCCAAACCACATTTCAGCAAAATCTACGTGAATTCAAACAATCCAAATCCCCCCAAAATGTACTGACCAATAAACTAATCTATTCTAACAATTTAAGTTGTTGTGACTAAGTGTGCTGTGACTAACCATGCCGTGACTAGGTGTCCAAGGGGAGGGTTGATGCCAGCAACCCTGGGGAAACATTCTTCTCATCTTAGTATGTACAGCAAGACAGAGCTGCGTTCATACCGTAAAAAAAATAAACCAATTTCCTTTATATCTGGAAACGTCAAACATCTAATCACTTCTTTCTAATGTCTGGATTGCTTCGATTTTTTTTTTTTTTTTTGGGGGGGGGGCATTTAGGGTACTTGATGGACTCAGGTTGGGATGGCTATTAGTCTATTTCTTCTTCATTGCCACTGTATAGTCTTAAGAATCAACACAACACTGAAATTGTAACATTTCTCACCGGCCACCTGTTGCGGAATGGCCAGCTTCAAGCTGTCACACCTCATGGCTGGCAACTGAAAGTGTGAAGCACATGATGTGCAGATAATTCTAAATAAGTGTAAAATTGTAAAACACGTAAATGAAGTATAAACATACTACTAAAAGACTTTAAAAGCATAAATGTGAAACAGCAGACACTGATAATTAGCCAAATATCATTTTGACAAGCACATAGTAACACATGACCTACTTTGGATATTGCCGTAATGAGTGAGTGTGTGTGGTGAAGGTAACCAAGATGAGCAACTTAGAATCTGAGCGCTGATATGTAGGGTATATTTTTGTCATTTAGCTGTGACAATGAGGCAGCTGCACCTTAAACTATGTTGTATCCTATTGTATTTCTTCAGCTTTATAAGATTGCGGTGTCCATTTCCCTCTATCACCGCGTTGCTATAAGTAACTTGTACCCTAAACTGTAATATTACTATAGTTACATATTTTCTGTATTTTATTCATGTTTTACCCCACAATTTCCCTGGTACCTTTCATACACTCCCCTGCTATCTGGACCAAGATTGTAGTTAATGGGGGGTGTGGGGTTCCACAGCATAAATTTGATATATTTGGACAGTGAGAGGAATCCATTGATACTAAAATCATCCCTATTCTATAAAAGTACCCATTTGCGATGGAAAATAATAATAATAAAAAAAAAAACTTGACAAAGTGAAGAATTAAATCATGACAAAATATTTGCAAAGTTGGACTGGTGTGTGAAACTAAAAAATTACCTTATCCTAAATCGAAAGTACGTGATTCTTGCTCTGAAAAATTTCAGTTTCCCCGAGTCTTCTGACGCTGTCATTTATATAATTTACAACATATTTGATCTTTGAAGCCATAATACTCATAACAAATGAACACTTTGATTAAAAGTAATATGTTTTATGCGGAGATAACTGCACAAAGTGCGGCATAGTAGACACTAGTAAAGACGAACCAATAAATCTTCACTGCTTACCTTTTTCCTATTTGCAGATGTTGACGATGTTATAACAGGTAAAGGCACGACAAGCAACATTAAATTGAGCTCCGCTGTAATTGGCCATTCAAGTGAGATGAAGCCATATTGAGAGTGAGCCCATCAGCTGTGATAATCCCAGGTAGGGGCGAAGTACACCCACAACACTACCAAGTTGCCAACATGCCTCGGTCGAGGCAGCCGCAGCGCCAACTACAATGTTTTGTCGGTTTAGCATGCTGCTGGGTGTCGAGGAATTACATGTAATTAGAAACTGTTCATTGTCCATTTAACCTTTAACCATATGTAAAATAAAAAAAAACTACCAGAGATTCGCAATTTCTTTTACATTTACAATTGTCTTTTTTATCTGTGACAATTGTATTGCAGTCGCAGTCCACGGACAATACCTTCGGCTTCTTTTCCTTTAAATAGGGATTTACTATTTTTGGATCTACATTTTTGGATCTTCTCACTGTCCAAGAGGTTCCCTGACTATAATTTTAGATTACCTTCGTTATATACGTTTTCAAATGACGTCAATCATTTCTTATCGTTGTAGGCAGAACTTTAGGTTTATCAGTATCTATAGTCTGCTGTGCTATTACTTTACTTGTCGTTTACCTGTTTCTTGTAAAATAAATTCGGAGACCCTTTTTGACTGGACCTTAAACAGTCTATCTCTGCTTTCTTCTGCTGGTTGCTTTTACTCAAATTATTTATTGTTTGTAGGAAAATCATGTTTTTGCAATAGGTCTATGACCAGGAGCCATATGCTGGCTCCAGGTAAGGGTAATAAAAAGACAAAGAGTACACAGGAGCATACGATTACAGCAACGGTATCCCGATTTCTCGATGTAAGTATACGGAACACATACTGATCTGAGACAAAAAATAATGAACAAACATAATATTTATAAAGCATGTACAATAGAAAGCAGAAAAGTAGTCATACCATAATGTACATAAAATTCATACAGAGCAGTAATGGTGATATCTTCAAAGTTAAAAGTCCAATGAGCAGCCTACTTGAGGCCTTTCTTGTAGCCTTTTGGAAACCTCGAACACTGGTAAATGTTTGCCCTTTATACGCATATTATTTGAATGTATTCAAATATCTTTTCGGTTTGTATCAGTTTGTATGCTTCTATCTTGATACAATACTATACAGTCCCCCCAGCCAAACAGAGCGCGATATCTTCAAATATATTTCACATAGTCGCAGATAGGGATTTATATTTTCATTAAGTACGAATCGCATCGTAAGTTTCTTAATACATAATTCTATCACAGAGATGCATAAAATGTTTCTGTGCCTTTTTAGTAGTGCATAAAATAACTCAATATGAATAAAATTTGAAGTCAATCATGACGGTCACTGGACCGACATGATAATTATTCCAATGTTTTCAAGCCATATGGCGTGGTATTAATGAACTGACACGGAACGCACTGATCTGCATTATTGACAATCCATAAATGAGCAAATTATATTATAATGAAAGTTCAATTCTGAAATAGTACTCGCAGGAAATTTTGGGAAAATTGGGAAACCCGAATTTCAACAAAACGACGAGGCACTTCTTGTAAATATGTTGTTTTCATATGTTTAGGATTAGTAAAAATAAATAAACAAAACCAGAACTAAACTCTTTTTCTCATAAAAAAGTTACATTTAAGATAATTTGTATTGTATATATGGCCATAGCACTTTTTTCTTGAAAAGCGCGCCCGCCGAGATATATTTCCAGGAAAAAGTGAAAATTCCAAATATTTTTCATTCTAATTTTCCGCCCATATTTTGACGTCCGCGAAAGAAATATGAAACATTAAATACAAATCAATTTGTCTATGATTCATTGTGTATGGTATCGTTTTTCCCGTTCCCAAAACAATTTTTTTCCGGAAATACCTTACTCTCATGTGTCATGTCATGTCTATTGTCTATCGTGAATATTTTTTATTTTGATTTCCAAAATAACTTCTTTATCTGGGGGTAGGTAAGTTGTACAGTGGGGCACAAACACATACGCACACCTTCGCTAACAAAGCATCTATACGCACACGGATATGAATACACACACACGCGCGCGCGCGCGCGCATGTTATCGGCCAGAAGCAGTGACACTCTAATTATGCTATCATTAACACATTTAATTGGTAAAACGTAACCCTTGGTTAGTTATGAGAAAAATTTCTAAGGGAATAAAACCACAAAATAGAGTTTGGTGGTAGTGAAGAGTTCTAAGCCTAGTGACACCAGGGCAAGATGTCATCAGGATTCCTCCTGTGTTTTGGGCGATTTTACGGGGATAAACCCCTCGACCTGGGTCGTCCCTATACCCAGAGTGTGATTGGTGTGTGTGGGTTTACCATCACCAAATTGTGTCGGACATAAAAGCCAAGGCATGTGGAAAATCAGTGTTATATGAAAATTACGAATGCTGAGTCCAGTGCCTAAGTAACGAGGTGCTCTACGAGAGACCGTTGGCGAGGCCTGTGGAGTGTATGTGTGACAGCACTTTACCTGCGCTCGCACCCTCCCCTCGCCCGACCACGAGAGTAAATCACCTCAGCGGCGGTCTGTCACCCGCCCGCAGCCCCCACCATGGAGGGGGAAGGTGACGGCCTTGGGGCCACCGCGGTGCCACTCACCCCCACAACCCTCCACCCTGTGGAAGAGATTGATTCTTCTGACATGAATAACGAGAAATCACCTGCAAACCCTGACGTTGACGACAAGGGCTATCAAGTCGTCATTACGAAAATAAATAAAAAGACATCACGTGAATCTGGCAACGCGACTGATGAGCGACCCAGGAACAGTCACCTAGAACCCATCGCCCCAAGACAGAAGTACATCCGCCTGGCCTTCCCCGAGGAAACGTCCACGGTTGATAAAATAAGGTGGATGAAGGAAGTCAGCCGACTCCCTTTCCTCCAAGAGCATGGACCACTAGACATGGTGCAGGGGAAATGGCGATCCTCGCGCTATGTCTACGTCCGACGGGACCAACGACACTACGTAGCCCAGATGATCAATGGTGCTGTCGCAGGTATTTCGGTTGAAAAGAAAGACGAGTATCAGCCCAGACCCAAGAGATACGGGGAATACCTGGTTACCAGGTTTCCAAAGGAGGCCCCTGCAGATGACGCAATGCACCTTCCGGGTGTTTTTAAAGCCCGGAGAATCTATAAGGAGGGGCAGCCATTAAATTGAATCATAATTGTGTGGAGCAGAGAACGCCAGCCACCCACTGAACATCACTTCTTTGGCAAGTACATAGAGCCGAGCTCTATACGTCCATGGAGCTCTGATGTCACGGCCTGTCACCGTAACTGCCCGAACAGGCCGGCACGCCTCACCCCCCCCCCCCCTGCCCCGACCGTATCCATCGACCGCGGAGTGGAGATACCCAGCCCAGCTACACCCCGCCCGGTGCCATGTGACCTCACTTACCCACAGGAATTCCCGGAGCTGCTTGGTGGAGTTCCCATCCCAGAAAACAATGCCTCAGAACTAACGAATGGTGAAAAAATCAAGGAAATGGCCGAGGAAATAAGCAGCCTCAGGCAAGAAATTGCAGCTTATAAAAATGCTAAAGGAAAGAGAAAGTGATAGTGTATATAGGAAAAATATACCCTAATGATGTCAGTGATATCGACAATGTGAATGAGGTCTCATGCTAATGCTAATATTACACATGATAATGCTAATATTACACAAGATAATGATAATATATTACACATGATAATTATAATATAACACATGATAATGATAATATTACACATAATGATAATATTACACATGATAATGATACACATGATAATGATAATATTACACATGATAATGATAATCTTACACATGATAACGGTAATATTACACTTGATAATGATAATATTACACATGATAATGACATTACACATGATACTATCGACGAATCATCTGAAAGCGGTGATGACAGTGAAAATAACGTCGGCGTAGATATGCAGGCAACGGACGACCTTTAGGAAAACATTCTGAGAATGGTGGTAGGTACAAATTATGCGTATAATATCAATATATGGAGATTGCGCAGAACCTTTGCAAATAGACAAGAAGGAACAGATATATGCAATGCTATTAAAGACATATGTAAACTAAAGGGCTTCATTAAACAAAGAGTTGACCACTCAGCTAATAATGTGTGATGAGGGACAAGAAAATAATTACCTTTCTTTCATGGAATATACGTGGTCAACTGTAGAATTAATGACTTGCTTTATTATGTTTATAATAATAATGACATTATCTGTCTACAAGAGCCCTTCACATCAACCACTAAATTAAAAACCGCCCCTAGAATTAGAGGATATCATTCCTATACAAACACAGGAATGGCGTCTATTGACATGTTAGTGACGCCATACCGCATAAACTGGTGAAGACGTCCGATGACAACAATGTGCAATATCATCACCTACATATTCGAACAGCCTCTGGGTTTTTCTCCCTGTACAATGTATACGCAAGGTGTAAAAAGTTTCAAACCGATTCACTGCTCAACTTTCAGAATCATGGCACAATATGCATGGGAGATATTAATGCTAAACATTCATTTGGTGATAGTCAATGTAATGAAAGTGGCGAAGAATTCAGACATTTTGTGAACAACAGATCTATGACCGTATATGATACAGATAAGAAAACTCATGTGGCAGGAGGCAGGCTAGATTATGTAATAGGAAGGGATCTTGTGCATGGTAACGTCAGATGCATGCTTGCAACAGAGTTTACCAGTGACCACTTTGCGATAGAAGCGAGATACGCAAAAACAAATAGGCTGAAAATCTCTATTCCTTCTTACCTTGAGCACCACTCTAAATCACGCATCTATGATTGGCATAACGAATACACAGTAACGAGTGTTGATCAGTTCTCCGTGGATATGACGAAAGTGGTCACTGATTACTACAGCACCTGGATCTGTCCAAAGAAAACCTTAAGGAATAATAACTCACAACCCTCGAAACAACATAAGTGAGTCGGTGACCCCACATTATCAAGCGAGTTCAGGAACTTCTTAATATCTACAGGCAGGACAATACCCGTGACAGCCTCATACAATTTCTTAGGGCTAACAAAAATCTACGGGAATTAAAAACACAATTAGAAATGAACACTTTGAACAGTTTCTACAAAGCATTAACAATAACACTTCAATGTCTGAGGTCTG